CCAGTGGCCTGCTCCGAGCAAAAATGTGCTGAAAAGCCGTCGGCAAGTGTCAGTGAGCCATCCACGCAACAATGGAACACATAATGTTGTTGGGGTGTTCCAGAGGAGACGACTAAGACTGAGAGGGGGTGGAACTGGACACAGCCACTCGCAGCTGTGTGACTGAGGGTTTTCCAAGAAGCCTTTGTGGCCCAAATCTCCATTTTCTCAGCTGCTCATTTATCCTGGCGCTCCCGCGATGGGGGGGTTTTTGATTTGCTGGTGTGGCAGCTGTGTTTATTCTTGATCTGGATTTAAGTCTGCCGCCTTAAGGGAATGGATAAGACTATGGAACCAGTTGTGCATGATTCTCTCCGACAGGTTTCTTCCCCTGCCAGAAGTCGCCGCAACAGACAGCGCATGATTCGATTCAAGATGGTTGGGCGAGTGAAGAACGTGTTGGATCAGTATTATCACACGGCACAAGCTGCAAGGTCAGTGACCGCTGCAGAGGCAGCCAACGATTGTGACCAGAGCGGTTCTGAACAGTTTGCATTTTTCTTACAACAGTGCATTGACAGAACAGAGTTGCCCTTAGGATCGTTTTCTCGCAGTTTCAGCGTTGGCCCCTGCAAACCTGACAAAGCACCTTTTGCTGGCAAAGATATTTTTCCTTTACCCCCTTTGCACAAGTTTCCTGAGTGGCTGGAGCTGGACTGCCCCATGGCAGACACCACGGCAGTGTTAAAGTGCTTAAATAGTTGCATCGTGGCCCTCAACTTCCTCAACTTGGGCATGCCAAAGGTGCCTAGACCCGACAGGAGCAGGACATATTGCAACAAAGCTCAACGCACCGTGGTGCAGCACATTGCTTGTCGGGTGGTCCGTTTCCTGCGCCGTCTCGACGATGCATGGGCTTCAGCATTTTCCTGGCAAGGGTCTCTGCAATCTTTTGCGCCCAAGGCATGCAATTATGAGAAGATACGTGGACAGGATGTGGGTTTGCCTGATGTGGCAGGAACTTGCAATCCATCTCAACTGGTGCCTCGGGAGCTTTGGGAACCAGTTTCAGATCCAACCCAAATTTTTCCCCAACATTGTGAGCCTGCAAGTTGCTTGAGTGGTGTTGCAGGACCTCGGGCTGCGCGGCGGGCCTATGTGCACCTGACCGCCCGGGAGCTGCAATGCGGAAAGTTGCGTTTGCGTTTGGGTGTCAAAGGCATTGCGAACATTTTTGCAGCTCCGAAGAGGGCAGACAAAGGAAAATTTGGGATGGGAGCATGTTGTCCGAGTTGGCCTCGCCGCCTCCGAAGCCTCACCGTCTGGCTAATCCAAGCTCTTTCTTAGACATTTTCGTGCCAAAACATGAGGAGCTCTACATGTCCAAGCGGGATGCAAGCACCTATTTTGACAGCTTGGTTGTGCCTCAGGAGCTACAGCCCTGGTTTGGGCAACAGCCTGTGCAAGTGAAGGAGCTGGTCCAAGTAGGCTTGTCTTTGCGCGAGATAGCGTCTTGGGTTGACGACCTTGACACCATGCTGCAGCCTCATACGTTGGTCTTTCCTGTCAATGTTGTGTGGCCAATGGGGTTCAGCTGGCTGCATTGCGCAGGCCAACACCATTGGATGCTTGCGCAAGTGCGGGGTGCCAGAGTCGCAAATCTTGAGCTTGGACCACGACTTGCCAAAGACCCAACATGAGTTGTGCGCAGTGGCTACGGACGATGTCTTGCTTGTCCACAGGTGCAAGAAGCAGGGGGGCAAGACTTTGCAACGGCTTGACCACGTCTTTGCAGAACATGGCATTGTTCGCAACAAGGCGAAGGATGTGAACCTTGCTGGCCACATGACTGGTTTGGGCTGTGACATCGTCAGCTCGCCGCCAATGGTGGAACCAGCCCTACACAAGATTGCCAATGTTGTTTTGGGAATTTGCGACCTGTTGGTTTCCAAGAGAGCTAGCCCAGCGACTGTCAACAGTTTGTTAGGAGTTTTGCAATGGTTCTGTCTCCTGCAGAGAAACATGTTCAGCATTTTCGACGCAGTATACGATTTTGTGAAACATCCTGACAGTTCAGAGGAGCAAGAAGTGCCTGAAAAAGTGCGGTCCGAGTTTTTTAATTGCTTTGGCCCTGCTGCCTCTCCTTCCAGCTTCTTTGGACAGAGACTTCTTGCCTGAGCTGCTGGCTTGCGATGCTGCCCCAGACTTCGGTTTTGGGGTGTGCTCTTTTAACTGCGGGCGCAGTGTCACTCAAAAAGTTGGCAGGTTGGCGGAACGCCGTGGAGATTTTGTGAGGTTGTTTCCTGATGAGCGGGACGAGCCTGAAGTGGCAAGGCTTTGAACCCCACACCGGCTGCCATTTTCCAAAGGCGACTTTAAGACCAGCATCTCCAGCAGGGCGCGCTTTTCAGCCCATTCTGGTTTGCTGGAGTGTCATGGGGTCCTTCTGGCTTTGAAATGGGTTAGCCGGAGCCATAGCAGGCATAGCAGCAGGCCAGTCATCCTGGTGGATGCCAAAGCGGCCATTGGTTGCATCAGCAAGGGGCGGAGTTCAGCGCGAGCTTTGCGTCGAGTTCTGCGCAGCACAGCGGCGTTATGTCTGGCTTGCAACCTTTTACCGAGGCTGGTTTACATTCCATCAGAGTCAAACCCAGCAGATGCCCCTTCACGTGGTTGCAGACGGCATGTTCGCAAGGGTAATTGGCGCAAGAGGTGCTGAAGCAGTTTGCCAGTGTGAAGTTTTTGTTTGGTTTGTTTATTTGACGTCGAATTCTGAAAGTTTGCAGAGCTTGGCCATTGTCACCTTTCTTGTGCCAAACCGGGCTCATCGCGACCATTGGTGGGACCTCCCCACTCTTGGCTTCGACGGGGTTTGAGCAGATCCCGGAGCTGTTTGTGCCCAAGAAGCGGGCAGCGATCTGTGCTCATTCGCTCTCGGCCTTCCTTGACTTACCTGGGCACAGCTGAGCGTGCCATTTGCAAGTTTTGAGAATACAAGTGTGCAGTTTGCGAAGTGATGTTTGGAACATCTTGGCATTGGTGCGGCCACTAGATATGATTCCTAGTTGCCAGTGCGGGGGTGGTGGACTTCTTTCAATCCACATGGATCGACAATCTCATCATCTTCTTGCTGTGCAGATGCTTCGTCTCTAACCTCCAGTGGCCTGCTCCGAGCAAAAATGTGCTGAAAAGCCGTCGGCAAGTGTCAGTGAGCCATCCACGCAACAATGGAACACATAATGTTGTTGGGGTGTTCCAGAGGAGACGACTAAGACTGAGAGGGGGTGGAACTGGACACAGCCAC